CTCCAGGTCCCGGCAGAGCAGCGAGCGCTGGGCCTTCAGCCGGCAGGCCAGGCTCATGAAGATGGCGTCCACGTTCTGGCTCTCCTGAGGGTCCTTGGCCGAGGTCTCGAACAAAAGCATGTTGTGAGCGTCGGCGAACTTCAGGCATGCTGGATGGCACCTGGATCAGGTCTTTCAAGTCACACTTGTTCCCCACCAGCACCCTGGGGACGAGGGGGGGCACCGCGTGCCCGTTGCACTCCTCGATCCACATCTTGAGGTTGGTGAAGGAGGTCATCTTCGTCACGTCGTAAACGAAGACGACGGCATGCACGTTGCGGTAGTAATGCTCTACCATGCTCTTCCGGAACCTCTCCTGGCCAGCCGTGTCCCACACTTGCACCTAGGAAGCAAAGCAGACAGGACAGAAGGCTCCAGGTGCGCTGAGCATCCGCCCCGAGGCAGGTGCGGCTGCGAGCGGGCCGGCCGTTGGGCTCCCTGCAGCAAGATGCAGGAAGGTTTCCTGCGGGTCCGTCTCTGACAGCAGCACCACAGCCCTGAGGCGGGACGCAGGCAGGCCAGCTGTGCAGGGAGAGGCGATCTCTGATTAGACGCACCAGGATTGATGGATGAGCTACACAAGCTTCTGGGCCTACCCTGACAGCGTCTAAGGCTGTCTAGGCCAGCTTGTGAAACTCCACCGAGCAAGCCCAGCCCATCTAGCAGGAGAGATCATGTCAGCACTGTCATTCACCTTCAGTATTCACAGGCTCTGCACAGCATATCCCGTGTCTCAGCCGCTGCAGCTGACCCTATATATTCCAGAGAATTGGCAGCACACTTTTCAGCAAGAAAAGTCCCTGCCTGATGACTTACCTGACTGCGGAGCGCCTGGCCAGGCAGCCCCCCGACAGCTTGCTGCTGCTGGACTGCTCCCTGCTTCTCCTCCTCTTCCTCCCGACGCACTTGACCACCATCCCCACCACAGAAACGAACTGCCCAAAGCACTTCTCATTTCACAAACATTCTTGCACCAGATGAAGATATTTGGCTGCTTAATCCTATGCCATAAAAGAGAACCCCGGTAATTACACAGTGGGACGTACAGAGGAGTCAGGGCACAGAGAAGATGAGAAGAGGAGCCAGCCTCTGTGTGAGGGAGCAGCAGGAGGGCATGGAGCTCTGCGCGGGGATGGGTGAGGAGCCAACTGAGAGCTCGTGGGTGAGGATTAAAGAGCAGATGGGTGATGTTGTCGGGGGGTGTCTGCTGCAGGCCCCCTGACCAGGAAGAATAAGCAGATGAGGCACTTTACAGACAGGTAGGAGCAGCCTCATGTTTGCAGGCCCTGGTCCTCACGGAGGACTTCAGCCACCCCAAGAACTGCTGGAAGGACAACACAGCAGGGCACAAGCAATCCAGGAGTGTCCTAGAGAGCACTGATGACAGAGAAGCCAACGAGCTCCTGGGCTGGATGAGCAGACAGCAAGGTGGATTGGAAACGGGCTGAATGTTTGGGCCTCAAAGGTGGTGATGAGTGACACGAAGTCTAGTTGAACAGTGGTAACTAGCAGCGTACCCCGGGGGTCCGTACTGGCCCCAGTCCTGGTCAATGTCTTCATTAATGGTCTGGATGGTGGGGCAGATTGCGCTCCCAAAAAGCGTGCAGATGACACCAGACTGGGAGGAGGGTGGGTAGGATGCAGGATGCTTGTGCTGCCTTCCAGAGTGACCTCAACAGGCTGGAGAAATGCCCTGAGAGGAACCTCACAATGTTCAACAAAGAGAAGTGCCAAGCCCTGCCCCCGGGGAGGAACAACCCCATGCACCAGGACGCGCTGGGGACCACCCTGCAGGAAAGCAGCTCTGCAGCAAGGACCTGGGGGTCCTGATGGACACCAGGTTGAACATGAGCCGGCAGCGTGCCCTTGCAGCAAAGGCAGTGAACGGACTCCCGGGCTGCATTAAACCAAGTGTTGCAGCAGGGCGAAGGAGGTGATCCAGCCACTTTATTCAGTGCTGGTGAGGCCACGCCTGGAGCGCTGCGTTCAGCTCTGGGCTCCCCAGTACAGGAGAGATGTGGACTGGAGTGAGGCCAGCAAAGGGCCACGAAGATGATGAAGAGCCTGGAGTGTCTCTCCTACGAGGAAAGACTGAGAGGGCTGGGACTGTTTAGCCTGGAGAAGAAAAGGCTCACAGGGGGAATCTTACCAATGTGTATAGACACCTGAAGAGAGACTACGAAGAGGATGGAGCCCGACTCTTCACTGGTGCCCAGTGCTGGGACCTGAGGCAGCAGGCACACACTGGAACACGGGAGGTTCCCTCTGAACATCTGGAAACACCTTTGCCTGTGAGGGTTCACTGGCACAGGCTGCCCAGGGAGGTTGTAGAGCCTCAATCCTTAGAGATATTCAGAAGCCACCTGGCCATGGTCCTGGGCCATCAGCTCTGGGTTGCCCTGTGTAAGCAGGGGGGTTGGAGCAGGTGACCTCCAGATGTCCCTTCCAGCCCCCACTTTGCTGTTAGTCTCTGACTCCGTGAGTTCTCCTGGCCCTTGTAGGTAATGTCTCACAGCCTGGAACTGATGCCCCAGTCTTTCAGAGTGGAAAAATGCTGGCAGAGAAGAGCTGTTGCCCATTCATTTCCCTGACGGTCTCTTCTGGGCTGTTCCATCGGAGAAGAGCAGGAGTGGGAGGGCACCTCTCCTACCTCCCATCTCCCCTCTTGGACGCAAGGTCCCAGGAAAAGGCCACTTTGCTGCCCTGCCTCTCACTCCTGCCTGCTGGAGCACAAATCATATCCAAAGGGAGAAAGCCTGGCAACATTTTCCAGCTAGCGGCAGTAGGACAGGCTTCACGCCAGCCTGCACTACAGCTTACAGCAACACGGCTGTGGGGGGTTGGATAGAGCTGGGGAAGGCAGGGAGGAAATGGGCACCTCTGCTCTTAAAGGAGAGAGAGAAAAATGTTCACGGACAGTATAAAAGCACAGCTAAAGTTCTTACCCACCAACAGTAGCTCTAATTTCATTGTGATTAGTCCCTCAACTTTTGATTGCCCATCTGTCAGGAAAATAGCGATGTCTGCTTCTCGCTGTCAGTCTTGCACACAGACGGCTGTCATGCCGACCCACCTTAACCGGGCAGGCCATGCTCTGCTGCAAACTCTGCTCCCTGGGCTGCTTCCTACCCACTGCTGTTGATCTGCAGATCTGCTCGGACACATTGGCCAGAGCTCTGCAGATCTGGGCTGATGCATTTCTTGCAGGTGTCACGCTGGCCTTCCTACAGCAAATTCGTCCTATTCTAGTTCTGCTGAAATCGCACCCTCCCAGCGCTTGCTGACAGCAGTCTCCAGCGTTGGCATCACAGCTGCCAAACCCACTGCAACCAGCTCCTGCAAGCTCCTGGCCTTCCGCCCCAGCCACTGCCAGCCTACAACCATCTGCTCCCCCAGAACCACACCGGTGCCTGTGTACAGCTCCTTCCCCCAGCTCCCTGCAGCTCTGCCTTGCT